ATCTCGATTCATTCGATAACGGCGGCGTAGCTATTCAATACGGATTTAAGTTCTGGTGTTGCGAGTGCAAATTGGAATGCGGAAGATAGAAGCTTTACAGGTGCGTCAGAGACAAGATATCAATGTCGTGTAGAGGAGAAAAAAGGATCTTTTGCATACCGATCAGCTCTGTGGTACTCGCAGATGTCACATTTGTGAAGACATGAAATAATTATTTTCTGCGTACCCTCTTATCTCTTGACTTAGACATATGACGGGCGGGTCGAGATCTTCTGTAGGATCGTTTGACAGAATCTTGACGAGAAATTGTTGAGTCCCTGTAGGCGCAAGACGGTCATCTGGTAAAGTACGAAGCTTTACGTACCTTGTGTGGTCGATGTCAATGACACCTAGTCTTCAGGAAGCTACTCTATGGAAATGATGTGGAGTTCAAACTCCAGAATTGGTAGCCGTCAATACCGACTTTTCCGGCTTTGCAAATCCACGAAATGGGCGAATAAATTCAAAAAAATTGTACAACTACATAGAATGCGCAGATTTGAAATAAAGAAAAGCACTAGAAAAGCCAAATGCGAAATTCGTATTCACAACGTCAAATTTCGAACATATCAGACCAGCCTAATCACGAACTTTGACAGCAAAAAATATTTTTTGATTTAGCAAAAGAAACGCCGTTTGGTTTTAGTTCCGGATTCGAGATACGAGCTCCTCTCTTCTATGGTGAGGTGGGGGCACCATCGTCTATCGGCTGAGTAGAGGCTGAGAACTTTAAGCCGCTCACCTATCCTTTGTTGGAACTTTGGTGAGTCACCTATTTTTGGAATATAAACACTCATAGCATTCGTATAATGACGCATTAGCTATGGTGGAACACTGGATTGTAAAAATTTACCAGCGAGGACATGGCATAGTGCACTGAGCTAAGATCGGAAGGCAGATTTGGTATCGACCCGCAGTCTTAAAATGAGACGTATACTAGAGATTACATGTCTAGGCAACCGCACTATATCTGTGATGATATATATAGCAACGTTATGTCGCGGACTGCAGAGTGTATCTCTAACGAGACGATTTGCTTCTGCTGTAAGGTAGGTTCTACGGAGATGATTCTGGTAGGACGGATGGTTGCGACTGTATGTCCTTATCTCCGAGATATGCCACCTTGGAATGAGTCCAAGCGGCCTAGTGCTGCGGTCTCTAAAAAACGTTTCGTGAAAAGAGGTGACGTCAAACCGCGGCTAGAAGCGCCAGTCCTTGATGTTATTTATAAAAGTCCGTTGTGTTCACAATGTATCGGTACTGTTAAGTGAATTAAGCGCATGACGCGCACCTCATGCAAAGCAGTGATGACTCTAAAGTTTGCTTTATGAATATATTTACTTGTAAATGAAGTAATACGGGCTGATTCGGGGCTCGAAGTCTCTCATCATTTGCCCAGAAAAAGATTTCGACAAGCTCAACGATCTTTTTGGCTTGTATGTATGAAAGAAATTGCGAGACGGCTAGATCGAACAGTTTACTGATGGAGAAGATGTTGGGCTCATCATCCACACCAGATGAGCCTGTTACTGACGTAATCGCACAGCACCAAATGAGACAGAAACGGGTCGACTACTGTCAAGGATTATAAAGTATAATCGTCTTCAAACGTTTTCGGCGCGGTGACAAAAATTACGCCATGGTTGTTGCCTCATCGGGAAGTCATTTGACTGACCTGGCTCCTGAAGACAGACAATTCATAATATTAGAATGACCCCTACTAGGTGATGTGTGCGACGCAATAAATACTTGCTTTTGTTTATAATTAGTTTGAATTTGTGAGAAAAGAGACAATTCTCCTCGGTGCGACTTTCTAGATTAAAGAAGGTAACGGCAAGTTGCGGTTTTGGTCAAGTATTTTTGATAAGCAGAAAACAACATCAATTTACCGTAAACATTGGGTCATAAAACATTCGATAGAAAAATCGTGGTTGTTCAGCTTGGTGCTGTTGGCCTTTTAAGTGGTGAGTCTATCGCTTCATCAATTCATGATGCCTTCATGATGACATGAAACAGTTTGTCGCTTCAGTCTCTGCCATAGGCAGTAATTTCACCAGAAGCTGCAGCGTGGGTGCCGAGCTCAGCAAAGGTCGCAAACCTTACGTTCTATACTAGAATCAGAATGAGTGTAGCAAATTGCAATCTGCAAACTCCAAGAGTACCCACAACTTTAACCCAAGGCAAATACTCTTCCGTTCTAAATGCAATCTGTATTTTTTTGGTTTTATTTGCGACAGATACGCCTGTACAAAAGTATATATATATTTTAAAATTAATAACGAAAGCCTAATTAAAACGCATAACTACTGACAGTCCCGCCACGTAGTGACTTCTTGTTAATGTGTAGTCATACATTGTGGGGTCACACCATCTTGTGTGATCCATCT